TTTATTCGTCTCTAGTCTCTGGTATATGTTAAAATGGAAAAACGTAAAGATGCTATTGCTATGTCAAGGATCTATGAGTTGTGGTGCATGTTATCTTTGTCTTTTTTATTTTTATTTTTTGAAACCGACTTCACAAATCAAGCAGTCCTTCATTTGTTTGAGCTTCAAAATTAATGCTTGTTAAGTTTTTCTCTGCTTTTTTAGTGACATAAGTCAAGGACATTTGGGTAACCTATTTGTCCAAGTTCGTGAAAAGATATGGAAAGTCGAAGCTTGAAAGGGCTAGAGAACTGTTTGAGCATGCTGTTGAACCGGTATGCCAATTATCATTCTTTTAGCTCTGTGTCTGATCATAATTGTTCATGACATGTTACTTAGTTTTTCTTTTGAAAATTAATGGGATTTATTTTTGCATGTATGTAAAAGCATTAGCCAAAACTTATGTGCTAATCTGTTCCACACTAATCATCTAGTTGATCATGGCCCTGACCTGTAATAGTTTTCTATTGAAATTGTGAGAGGTTCCTTCAGAGCATTGGTTCCTTTAAGAAGCAATGGGAGTAATCTTAGCCAGAAGAATTAGGGTGTAGAAGAGCATAATTTCATTAGTAGTTGAATGGCTTTTTGACTTATTAGATGTCATCCTTCTGCAGTCTGCACTTTTAAGAGCTTCTATTGAAGCTGATTCGAAATTTTACGTTGTGTGCATTATCAATGTGCTATGATGCTGATACTCCTTTTATTTATTTATTTATTTTTGCTTGTGTTTATCAGGCTCCTGCTGATGCAGTTAAGCAGCTGTATCTTCAATACGCAAAATTGGAGGAGGATTATGGTCTAGCAAAGCGAGCTATGAAGGTCTATGATGAGGTAACCCAGGCAGTACCAAATGAAGAAAAACTAAGCATGTATGAGATATACATTGCTCGTGCTACTGAGATATTTGGTGTCCCTAAAACAAGAGAAATCTATGAGCAGGCCATAGAGTCTGGTCTTGCAGATAAGGATGTGAAGACAATGTGTTTGAAATATGCAGAGCTAGAAAAGAGCTTGGGAGAAATTGACCGAGCTAGGGGAATATATGTGTTTGCAGATCAATTTGCAGATCCACGCACTGATGGTGATTTTTGGAATAAGTGGCATGAGTTTGAGGCTCAGCATGGAAATGAAGATACCTTCAGAGAAATGCTGCGAATCAAAAGAAGTGTTTCTGCAAGTTATAGCCAGGTAAGCCTTTATGAGAAAAACGTTCCATTTAGTTTTTTGATCCATTATATGGGTCTTTCCTTTTATTCATGCAGAATCTTTTGAATTCCCGTTTAGTTTTTAGATACTGTTCATGGTATAAATATAAAAGCTTCCCATTTAGTTTTAAGATACGTTATCTGGGTTTATCATTTTATTCTTGCCTAATCTTGAGAATTCTAGTTGAGATTTGCTTTTCATCTTTTATTCTAATTCTCTTTTTTGTTGATTTTTCAGGCACACTTCATTCTGCCAGAGTACATGATGCAGAAGGATCAGTCATTGACCCTTGATGATGCAAAGGATAAATTGAAGCAGGCAGGTGTCCCGGAAGATGAGATGGCTGCTCTTGAGAGGCAATTGGCGCCTGCATCCAAAAATGTCAATTCTAAAGACAGCAGCAGAAAAGTGGGGTTTGTGAGTGCTGGGGTGGAGTCCCAGA